ACACACACACACACACACAGTATATATATATATATATATATAAAACAAATCATACGATACCCTAACAGATCGAAGGCTTTGTCTGAGCAATAAGTAAGCTCCAGGTGGCTGGCTTTGACGCGGGTTAATCTCTCGAGCTGATTACAAGTCGCGAACAGCCAGACACAAATCCAGTTCCGCTTCTGCCAAAACCGTCGGTATAAGCCTACTTACACACGGCTGAACATGTAGCTGGCCAATCGTCGATTGGTAATCCGGGAATGTTTTCTGCCCAGTCCATTATCGGCTTAGTGCAGCTCCCGCGCCATTCTCCTTTCGCAACGACCTGATTCCACGCGAGAAAAAAGGAAACGCCACCCTATATTCCAGACGTTCTGGATAAATCGATAATGTTAAAGATAGTTTCTTTACACGCCATTTCGCATTCGCGATTCCTTAAAAGGGAATTCAGAGAAACGCAAGAATCCTCTATGTCGACATAATGTGAATTCTGCAAACGTTTTTTCAATAATAATTTTAATTTGTAAACTATATTTTTCGACAATTTTTGGAATATAAAACAAATTGTATTGCTGTCTATTTTTCAACATGACTGTTCATATTTTCCGGCAATTTCAATTTATCGTTGCACTCATTCAGTGAGACAATAAAAATTTGTCACGAACGCAAATAAAAATTTATTAGCAAAGAATGTGTTTGAAGTTCGAATTTGTTTGCTGCTCGTTTTATCAATGTAAAAATAATATCGTCGGTTAAGGATAGCGTGGCAAGCATAAGCATCCTGTTTCCACAAACTTGTGAAAAAAAGACTGACTTTCATGTATGTACACCATCATCACCGAAAATATTATTCGTTACGCTATTGAGCACGTTTAAAAATGCATGGGCCACTCAACCTGAACCGGAAGCATTTCAGTTATCCTGTTATTCAGTATCCTCAGGGATAAGGCTCGCCTACCCTTAATGATGACCAGCAATATTTGCTCTTTTGTTTTCCTACCAAGAGGAAAATAGTGCGCCGTCTCGTGCATTAGCGCGCTCCTCGCAAGATTATGAGGTGTTTTATTTTCATGAACGAGGAAATTACACGTGAAAATAATAAAAAAGGTTATACGTTACAATTAAATGATTTTTCGATCTCCTTTTCGGCTTAAGTTTACGAAGCATTACTTTCCAAAGTCGTAATCTTCTGTTATATGTTGTAAAAGTAAATTGATCACGAAGAAGAAGCGAAAGATAATCCAATAATAGAATTTTATAGAATAATCAAACTGATAGAGCTTTGGATTTGTATATTCACACTTCATCTTCATAAGACAGAAATGCGTGCATTTATTGATAAAAATGAAATGTGAATATGAACTTAAAGCTTTACAAAAATATAAAACTATGAATTTGATTATTCCATTTATTCTATAAGACTTTTTTATTTATTTCTTAGGTTCTATGAATATATGTAACATAAACTATATGCTAAATGCATTTATTAATACAAGTGTGAATACAGATCTAAAGTTCTACAAAAATATAAGATTTTCAATTTAGTTATACTATAAAATTCTTTTATTTATTTCTTGATATATGTAAATTATGTGCTAAATGTGCGCATTGACAAAAATGAGATATGAAGAAGTTCTACAAAAATATAAGACTATCAATTTTATTATTTCATAAAATTCTTTTATTTGATTATCTCTCACTTCTTCGTGATAAATTTACTTTTATACAGCATGTATTTACATGAATCTGCATACATCATTTACATAAATCTTGTTATCGCGGTGCGATGTTTAGAACTGTTCCAATTTAATTCACTACTTTCCAAGTATTCGGCGCGCGATAACAAAACAAAGTGTCGATTCCGCGACAGATACAATTAGCGTCTTACGAATATCGCGCAAAGTGTATTACTATGCGCCAGGGAAAATCCCGACAATTCTGATGGTCGCGGCAAGGAGATTATTCTATAATTTTAACAATCAATTATTTAGAATTCAGTTATCTCGGCGAGGCTACCGGCGTATATTCAATTTTAAAACTGCAAACAGTCGCCGGAGTACCGTTCGCAACGAGGCACTCAATATGTAAAGCGCGATGTAACTTCGCCGCGGCCGCAACTCCGCGCGTCACGCGGATTAATCAAGCGGAATTCACGCTCGACTTGTAAACGTTGATCAAATATCCGTGAGCGAGTTAACGACCGCGGGATTGTCTGTGAAATTCGACTAATTCAACTCTCGGTGCGCGCGATGTTTTTCGGCGACGGCCTCCGTCGAAGTTAAATTACGTTAGCCCTTTCCCTACGTCCTCCAATTAGGGACACTTTCCCTTTATTGGCAACACGCGAACACATAGTTTGCATGCGAAGTTATATTTTTCTTTTGTTTTCATAATTTTACGACAGTCTATAAGTTTTCTCTCTCTCTCTCTCTCTCTCTCTCTCTCTCTCTCTCTCTCTCTCTCTCTTTCTCGAATCTGAATCGATAAAAAATTCTCAAAAAAAAAAATTCCTACAACACGCCGCAATCACATAGAATCGTGAAAAATTTCCATCTCTTCCTAACATACATACGCGTATGTACTTGAATATGTATTGTATATAATTCATTGTCTCATTACACGCAATACTGCATTCAGCGTACCGACTGCGACCACTTTCAATATAAAACGAAGAAATAATAAATGAGCCGGCTGTCACGTACCGGGTGGCACCATTGCTCACTCACCTGATAGAGTATGTCGAGAGTGATCGGATAGAGCAGGTGCTCCACGATGACTCGGAGTACGGTATTGGGTCCGCCCTGAGTCTCGCCAGGTCCGGACACCTGATTTTGTCCAGCAATCGCGACCTGGTTGTTCGAATTCTGTAACAGAGAAGAAAAGTAGAGACGAATTAAGCAAACTTTGAAGGAACAAACTAATTGCGATCGACGTTTACGCGGCGCTCAAAGTACTGAAGATACAAATTGCCAAAGTTCCGCGAATGATAAATGATGAAATTTTACTTTACAGACAAAGTGATTTTCATCGAACTTGGTTCTTGTATTTTTAGGACTTCGTATAGAGGCGAATAATTGAAGACTTATTTATATTAATTGTTTTATTGTTAGCACAATATAATAATAATAATAATAATAATAATAATAACATTAATATATTATAATAATACAAGTCTATGTACAATAAGCTTTAATTAGATATTGTATAATAATATAATAGGAATAATAATCGATATAGCTATTTTAAAATCCAACACAGCTGGTCTTTAAAAGCATCAATATAAAAATGCTCTGTTTCCGTTATGCAATATACGTATCACGATTATTAATATCGAATGAAATTTAAAGCGTATATTAAATTGTTAATGAAATAAATATCAAAGCTTTTTTACTTTTGTATTTTGAGAAATTATTTGCAATGTCTGAAATTGGAACGCTTTCATTGCAGAGGAATAAAAACGTTTCCTGGAAATAACAAAAACCTTTGACTTTATCTTCAAATTGTAACACAAATGAAGATTTTTTTTATACATAATTTGTATTAAATCATAGTATTAAAAAAAGCTATTGTGTCGGGGAAGTGAAATAATTGGAAATTTCCTGGTTTAAAGAATACATCATGAATGACCTTACTGACTTCGATGTGATGCATGATCTTCCTTCCTCGAACGATATACAGATCACGGAAATTCTCTCTCGGCGTGTCTGCTGAGCGTGATGAAGCGGAATAGAAAATGATTTCTTTGAAGCGAGAAGCAGAAAGAGCGAGCGTCAGAAGAAAAACGGAGAGAAATGCGGGAGAGCAAACGAAAATAGATGCAAGAGTATTAAAATTGGACGCATACTAAGTGTAAAAACGAGGAGATATTATACTTTGTAAGTGAGAGCCGTATAATGGACGATGGCGCTGGTGGGTTATTAAAAAGGAATCGTGTCTTTCTGAGCCTCGCTAAATGAAACACCCGATAATTTCGACCCTAATATTAGATCGAAAGAGAAGTGGATTGGAAAAGAAATTGTGGTAACGTGCAAATTCTACAATAATCAATTTACAAGATTTATCGTTTTATCAATTTACAGGATAATAATTGTCAGATAATTATTTGATGCGTTATATATTCTGACTAGATAAATAATTGAACAAATAATGTGAAACATTTACATAGAATATATAAATATATAAATATCTTCACTTTGAGAAGATTTAAGGTAATATGTCTTCGCTGCAAAAAATTTATTTATCAAAATATCTAAAAAATATTTTTTAGATTTAAAATATACCTATATAATTTTCTAAAGTCTTTCAATTAATTTAAGACCGTACTAGAAATTTGACGTAGGTTCGTTCTTTTTATCTTTCGCACGTTCGAAATGCGTCTAGCAAACCGTCGCCGTTTTCATCAGCTGCCGCTGCCGGTAAAGCTGTCAAAGTGAACTTTAAGGGGGTACGTCGCAGCAAGCATTAGCATAAAATGCTAAAGAAACGCGCCACATTAGAATTTCGATGTAGATTAAAGCGCGGCACCCGCTCGAGCGAGGCTCCTAAATCTGACTTCGTAAAAATAACTTCTCTCAAGCGTATCCTAACGAAATTTCCACGGCGACGATGCGAAATGATGTCGTTTCCTAGTTCGCACAAAATCGCTGGATGTCTAAATCTTTAGATGTAAATAACGAGCTGATTATTAGATAAACACTTATTAGATAGACACAAAGATTTTCCTATAATATATTCGTTTAAGTAAAAATTAATTTTAAGTTATACTTTATGTAAAATATTCATATCAGATTTCAACTGAGATCGGATTGGAATTTCAATTAAAGCAAAATTAACTAAATTGATATCAATTTTCTTTCTTCTGATTAGCTAAATTCTAATCAGATCACAACTTAATTTCTAATCTGATACGAGCTTAATATAACTCATACATTTTTTTATAGGTAGATACAAGAATAGCTTTAACAAATAAATAAATAAAAGAAGAACAGAATATAAAGAGGAATGATTATTATTTATAATTCATGATTATTATTTATAATTCATGTTATTGTACTATCTTCTATATATGGGAAGCCATTTCAGATAAGATTGGAATAAAGAACACACACAGCTTCGCGTAGCAATTTCGATATTTTTAATCTGGGAGAACAATAAGAAAAAATATAATAATAATAATAAATATTTATTTGAAGAGTACCAATTAAACATTTACTTACAGTAATAAATATTTATTTAAAAAAAAATAGACAGTTAAATAAAATTAATTTTCCTATACTAAATATATTTTCATATTTAGTTGATACTATTCAAACAAATGATCTGAAATTTAGTACATTCTTTCAATGTAAAAAATTATTATTTTTTTACGGAAACAATCACCTCATGTGTTTTTACATTTTAATTAAAATTACTGTTATTAACAACATATTGAAATATTATTGATTGTTTTCTGATTTATTAGCGTTTGAGAATATTATGGATATATATTAATTTAATCATAATTTTCTGAAAAAAGTAAATAGAAATCAAACAAATATTAAACGAAATAAGCGCGTTAAATAATTTATATATTATAACAATATTAAAAAAAAAAATAAGGATTTTATTAATAACGCTTTTAATAACTATTAGTAACGCTTTTTTATTGCAAATTTTCAAATTGCATATTTAAAGGTTCATAAAGAATAGTTATTAAAAAAGAAAAATATGTCAAACAATATCTATGCAAAACAATATTTATTACGACAATTCACAATTTTACGCCGCTGGGATGCAAAAATACTCCAGGTGACTATTCCCGCATTAAATGGAGACGATCGACCGAAGGCAATTTGGAATTGTTGAATTGGATACGTATGGTATATAAAATTTATACCGAAATATTCAAACATTGTAGCTCATACCGGCTACTTAATTATGTCTTTGTGACATTTTAATTATTTCACTTGTTTTAAGCAATACGTGTCCTTACATAATACTTCTTGTAATTTCGGAAAATTCGGGTTTGAATTCCTGAAGTAATAGTAATTTCACAACAAACTGTTTGCTGTTTTTAAGGTGCTTATTAGTATCAATAATTATTAAACTGGTTGGCAATTTAATTTGTGATTACTCCAGTTTTGTTTATGATTGCATTTCAGGACTAAAAAATATGTCGGCGATAGTTGCAAAATTATATATGTATATAAAATTCACATCAAAATATTCAAACAAAGAGATCTATCTTCTACCGAATAAGTTTTCGTTATTTATTTTGTGTTTTTTCACATATTACGATCTTGTGACATTTTGAAATAACCGATAAACAAGCGGAAAGACAGATACAATTAAGAACATGTAACTACAATATCATTTTCACGGAAGAAATGTAATCGTGGATATGCTATGCTCAGAAAATACAACGTTTAACTGTAATATCTTGAGCTCAAAAATACGACGCATTGAAAAAGGACATAAAAGCGAGAAGTAAAACCAAGCTACAGAATATAGTTCTTCAACAGCAAATGATGATCGCAACAATTCGGAAGAAATAACCCGAGTGCATGGCGAAGGAGTAAAATTCTATTTCAAGAGACGCTTTTAAACGTAAGAGTTTTCGTTTTTGCAGCGATGTTAAACTACATGTTCTCAAGATTAAAAAATTAAAAATCCAGATGTCTTTTTATAATCCTTAAGTATTTGTTATGAAAAAAACATGAGCTCGATAATGTTTTTTCTTTTAACTTCATAATCATATCTTAAGATAATTCTGTATCAAGAAAAAGGAAGAAGAGATCGGGAAAAAGAAATATTGCACATATAAAAATGCTTCATAACTCGCAGATATATTTTAAATTTTCAAAAAAGGAGAAAAAGTTAGCAGCAACGTGTGAATCTTTCTTTACGTAAAAAGTTATACTAAATCGTTTCTCGCAGACAGTATACCGAGGCTAAATGAATAGTTAAATGGCCATTGTTTCCTTCGCTGCGCGCGTTAGATCTTACGGAATTTACGAGCATGCTAAACCTCGGCTCATCTCGTGCCCTCGTTTCTTCACACCAACCAACCATCACCTGTAACAAACGCTTTTTGACTGCGTTCGAACGCTAGTTTTTAACGCGTAATTCAGTTACACCTCGACGCATCATGCGTTCGTTTAACTACGATGTAAAGCAGATCGAGATTTCGCAAGCACGGCGGATATTATTACTGCCGACCATACTCGCTAATAATTTTATGAGCAATTTTATTGAAGTTTGCATCGTGCATTCGCGGTTTAGTCGAGTTTCCGCTCAGATCCGAAACGGTTTCCGGCCTTGCCCTGCAATGTTGATGATGTATAAGTGTTTCTAACTGCAAACATAAATGTTTTACGAAAGAACTGGATGTGGATTAAGCGGGATAAAAATAGTCCAATTAAAATGGATGAGAGCGACTGGAAATGTCAAGAATAATCTGAACGAGATCGAGATGCGGCAAATGTTGCCTCGTAAAAAATTAAAAGTAATTAAAGCATAGCTACCTTGATTTTTAATTTTGCGCTTACTTGCGATATGAATAATTTGCAGCAAATATTACGAAATTAACAGATCCATTTCACCGTTAAATCGCTCTAACATGAAATTAATTTCGTTTTAGCTTTTAGAGGTATAAATAAAGTGACTCGACAAAATTCATGTCCTGATGACCCTTCGCGATGGATGATATTCGAGATCGCCACGATCTTGATCTTTCTTAAGAAGGAAGGATTAATTTTGACGTCCCGGTATCGAGAAAGAAGAAAGCGAGAAAGACAGGGGAGACGAGAGAAAGCCAGCTGCTAATTAATTAGCCTGACAAACATTAACTGACGGCTGTTTCCTCTCCGGTCGGGTCTGTTCACCG